GGATGGATGGGTGGGTGGATGTATGGATGGATGGATGGATGGATGGATAGATGGATGGATGGATGAATAGATTGATGAATGGATGGATAACAGAATGTAAGAGTGGATGAATGGATGGATAGATGGAAAGTTATATAGATGAATGATATTAGCTTGTATCCCCAATAAAAATAATTTGCACAATAAGTATTGCAATACCATTGATATTAGTTGCAGTTCTACTATAAATAGTAGTAGTAGTAGTAGTAGTAGTAGTAGTAGTAGTAGTAGTAGTAGTAGTAGTAGTAGTAGTAGTTGCAGTAATAGTAGTAAAAATAAATCGTTATATAAGAGTAGTAAAAAGCTATAAGTAAAGTTAAATGTAATAGTTTTTAATAGTAGTATTTATAATAATAATAATAATGATAATAATAATAAAAATAATAAAAAAAAATAATAATAATAAAAATAATAATAATAGTAATAATAATGTGAACTCTTTTATTATCAGAAAACATCAAGACTAATCAAAATAAAATCAAAATAAAATCAAAATGTAGTAGAATTAATTTCAATGTACGAATGTGAGTATAAAATATATTTAAAGCTTAGTATTTTACGTATAGTATAGTATTATAATAATAATAAAAATATCAATAACAATAATAATAATAATAATAATAATTCAGGAATAATAGTAGTTATTCAGTAACGCAAGCCTGTGATAGCATCAAAGTTGTTATATAGCAATAAAGGAGACATTCATAATATCCCACGACTCCTGAACGATTATGAACGACTCCACCACGATCCTCATCCAATCAATTGCTCCATCTTGTTAGGATAATTTCATCCTTTAATAAGATAACCATCCTTCCGGTAGTATTTTAAATTTGGGATTGCATTCTTCTCTTGCAGATGTTGAAGTACCTGGCACACGTCCCAAAGGCCGTCCAAAGAAGTCCTGGTCGCAAACAATCGAGCAAGACATGAAAGCTCTAAATTTAAATGAAATGGATACAACTGATCGTCTAATTTGGCGCAAAAAGTTGATGGCAAAGAAAACAACGTCCTACCTCGGGAAACCGGGTCTCTGGACGCAAAACGAAGATTGATTGATTTTTGGGATGTGAGGATTATAAAGTTACAAGAAGGATCTTTGTTTGTGGATGTTGTGTACGATAATGCTGCTTGGATGGATTTGTTTTTTTTTTTTTGTGGAATTTGTTGTTTGTTGCTTTGTATTTGTTGCATGGATATGATTTTGTTGGAAGAACTTTTGTGGTGAAATTCATTTTGAAAACTGACTATTAAGGTGGAATATGTGGAGTTATTTCTTGGTTTCTGTTAGGTCATTTCGTCATGTTATTTGTTCGTTGCATCACATGCGTCATTGTAATTTGCATGTGTGTGTAAACGTATGCGTATGTGTGTGTGTTTGTATGTGTGTGTGTGTGTATGTATGCTGTGATAGCCATATTGCCTCGGTTAGATAATCACCATAAAACCAGTCAATAATCCGACATTACTAGACGCGGCTTGTCTTTCATGCGCCTTTAAATAGGGGTGCAGGATGCCATGGTGCCTGATTCCTCGATTCAAAATGTTTTTATTTTTGTATTTTTTGTATT